TTGTGACATTTGAATTTAGAATAATATAAAAATGTATGAAAACAACAATATTTTCAGAAAAAATGGAAAACATGAATTAAAAGTAAATAGATATGGGTTCATACTATAGTCAGGAGAAAGAGAATTATTTTTTCTTTTTAGATCCATGTGTAATTCACGTAAATATGTTACAATTTTGGTGTAAAACAAGAAACAAAGAGTTTGAAATAAAAAACTCTGATGGCATGAATTAAGAATAGTGTCGTATGAACGGGTTAATTCATGTACGTAATTCTGAGAGCGAACTACGTTGTTCGAATGCCCGTCAGAACATAGCAATACAATCGTTTGCAGTAACGAAAATGTTATTCTGTAAAAATGTAGACAAATTGTCAATAAACTTTCAAAAAGCTTTCAATTTTGAACATTTTGAAAACAAAATACATACAAATTCAGAACAAAACAAGGCATGTTCAATATTGAAAAATATTTGTCGATAAGTTAACTTCGAATATTTTGGTGTTGTTTATTAACAACATTTTTAACAATTGTTGTTAAAAACTGTTATAGAATTGAAATATTGTTTATTTTGTCGTTATAATATTTTATCGATTTGAGAATAGTTTAAATTTGATAGTGAATCGACCCACAGGACAACTTTTTTGGCAGTTGTATTTTTAACACTTCAACTTACGTGTGATAGCATTTGCTTATTATTAAAGTGTGAACGAAATATCCCAACATACATACATGGATTTAAAATAAACTGGTCAAAACTTCATAACTCTGCACAAAAAATTTTCGGAATATGACCAACAGGCAGTATATATTAAGATGTCACGTATGCACTCATCTTCCCACCTCCAGATCCATATTTTGTTAGAATTAATGGAGTTGAATATCAAGGCTTTAGAGATAAGCTTAGTGACGCCAATAAAATATTAGTTTTTACAAACTATTAGAAATATAAACAAACTGTCTTTAGAAATAAGAAGTAAGCAGAGTGGAAAAGGCTGTTGGTCGGGAAGGGCGGCATATACTATACCGTACATCACATTGGTTCACTTTAATAGGTGCTCTTAAGAATCTTATGATAGCCCATAAAAAATATATTTTTGTATATAAATATGACACGATTTTAATCAAATTGACTCAAGTCATTCTAGACTCAATGCAGTAGTCTATGTCATATTTTATGTCAATCGAAATAACGTAGAATCTAAGCTATGTCCAATTATACTCTGACAATCTTAAACTACCAAATCGCTACACCACTCAATCTAGATCCTTACACGGGGGCTATGCCGAAACATGTACTTACGTTGCAACTTTTTATACCTCTACCACGGCATACAAATAGTTATCTGAAATGCAAATTCCAAAACAGCGCATGACTTTAGGATGTACTCAGGTAATACTAAATTATGGAAAATTGTCAAACATCTTTAGTTTGGTGTGTAATTTAAATATTGTAATTGTCATTTGAAGGGGTCTTTTCTGTCCTCTTTTCCAGAAGTGATTGAAAACTCATTCAAAGCGGGGTTAAAGCTGCTAAGAATATTCTACAGAAATGTTCGCCATAAAGTTTTACTATAGACTAAAACTCAAAAATCTTAAAAAAACAAAAACTTATTTTAGGGTTAATATCGTACTTATTACTAGTTTTATTAGAGACAAAAATGTTCTCCATCAATTTTTAGCATAAGTCACTGAACAAGTGAAATCTGTATATCGTTAGCTAAAATGCAAAAAGGCGTAACTAACAAAAGCATAATTGTGTGGGAGAAGCAAAAAACTGTTTTGAATGAAAACTATAAACATGTCATGTGAAATGAAAAAGTATGCCAGCAGGGTGATATTGCATGTGACGAATAATAGACTAAAATTTTTTAACAAATTTAGTTATTTAGTTTAATGGCAATCATAACAATTAAGTAAAAAAGTGAATTTTTGAATATTCATTCAAAAAGTCAATTTTCAATTTTTTGTTAGTTACGCCTTTTTGCATTTTAGCTGACGATTTATAATGTATATACCGAATATATAATCATACATTTTGAACAAAAAATCAAAATGTTCTTGCATTTTTTTTTTTTCAAAGACATTTCCCAGTACAGTTCCCTATTGATATTGGGAAAATTGGTTCAGATTTAGATATAGCTCCAATATATATATATATATATAAAAATGAATTTCTGTTGGTTTGTTTGTTTGATCAGTGTTAGCTATAGACTCCTAAACTACTGAACGGATTTTCATGAAATTTTCACAGTCGATTTTTGAGTACATTTGTGGTAACATAGGGTACATAATTTGTTGGTAGGGGCAGGGGAAACAGTAGCCTCCATTCAAATTGCCCCTTTTTTGGATAAGAATTGGTAATTTATAGCAAAATGTTAGTAAATATACAAACCACAGATATGTGCTATTGTGTCTTATTGGTTGTACTTGCTAAGCTTTTTCCATATAACATTTTGTATGATAAAATAACATTCTTTAATTTTATCAGTACAATTTTGTAACAATTTTGTTATTCCTTAAAAAATTACATTTATTTTGATCAAGAAATAAAGCAAGAATACAGAATAATTTCATATCGGCAGTACGGAAAATAATAAGAAAATGACAATTAAAAAAGTTTGTGATTTTGTGTTAAGTTGCTATTATTGCAGGGAATAACTTTTAAATATGAGTTTTGTACCTATGAATAGATGTGATACCTAAAAGTGTAGCAAGGTAACAGGGTATTATGTCTTTGTGCATATGTTTGTAACATTTTGAGAATATATGTACATAGAATCACTTTCTGAGTCTATTTATGCATGTCCGTCCGTCTGTTGATGTTAAATTGTAAACAGAGTACAGGTCGAATTTATAATCCGAATGAGATGAAATTTGGCACAAGTCACTTATTTGGCCCAAGGACGAACCTACTGAAATTGGTGGAAATTGGTTCAGATGTAGATATAGCTCCCATATATATGTTCGTCCGATTTTATGTAAATTGTGCACTAAAGTCTCTGAAATTATTCGCTTTGCACGAATTCTGGCATAGCGTAATGAATTAGGTCTAGAATGATGTGTGTTAAGTTTCGCGAAAATCGGTTCAGATTTAGATATAGCTCCCATATATATTTTCATCTGATTTTATGTAAATTGTGCATATAAATCTCTGAAAATCATCCGATTTGCACGAATTTTGGCAGAGCGTAATGAATTACGTATAGAATGACGTGTGTTAAGTTTCCTGAAAATCGGTTCAGATTTAGATATAGCTTCCATATATAGTTTCGCCCGATTTTAGGTAAATGGTGCACCAAAGTCCCTCAAAATCATTAGATTTTAACGAATTTTGGCACAGCGTAGTGAATAAGGTCCAGAACGATGTTTGTTAAGTTTCATATTTTGAATAAGTCAAAATTATGTTTTGCTTTTGAGATTAAATTTTAAACAATGCATAGATTGCAGAATGACATGTGTAGCGATTGATGTTAGTCGGTTTAGATACATGTAAAGATTACATATTGAAGTTCGTTTTTTATTTCAAAACACTTAGATATACTGCACTTAAGACGTTCAGTGTAGAACATTATTGCATTTTTCAATAAATAACAGTTTAAATTAAAAACCAGTAATGGAAGCTCAAAAAGTCGGACGGGGCCGACTATATGATACCCTATAATACCACTTTGGACACATACAAAATATGCTCATATGTACAATATCCTTTTTATAGAAAAGACATAGCATGTTTGGAGGACCATTGAAATGGAATCGGACGAAATTAACTGTGTACATAGGTATTTGAACTGAATTAAAACAATCCATACACATACCAATCTGAAATATATGAAAAATTGAATGCCAATGCTGCATTTACACAAAATCGGAGGAAACTATATACGGGAGCCATATCTAAATCTGAACCGTTTCAACAAAACTTCGCATACATCAATCTGGACCTAATTATGTAGTCTGTGCAAAATTTTGTCGGAAAACAATCTGACAAATATTGGGAAAATACGTGAAATCGGACGAAACTATATATTTAACAATATGTATCTAAGTCTGAAACAATTCCAACAAAACTTCGCATACATCAATACGGACCTAATTCAGTACGCTGTGCGAAATTTTGCTCAAATATTGGCAGTATGGTGTATTATTTACATAAAATCGGACGATACTGTATATGGGAGCTATATCTAAATCTGGACCAATTTTCTCCAATATTTAAAGGATTCGTCCTTGGGTCAAAAAAGTGACCTGTGCCTAATTTCTTCCAAATCGGATCATAAATGCCCACAACAATACATGTACGGACGGAAAGACATGCATAATCGACTCAGAAAGTGAGTCGACCCATGGTTCTCAAGAGGAACCATGGGTCTTTCTCGATTAGTATTGCCTGTTCACAAAGTCATAATACCCTGTAGCACAGTGTGTGGATATGCAATATGGATTTAAAAAAAACTTGAAGTGAATAGTGTGCATTTGAATTATAAATCGTTTGAACATATATATATATATATATTAATCTGTTGGAATTTCTCGGTAATTATCCAAACAATTGAAATTCGTCGCACAGTGTTGCATATCTTACAAATACTCTTCGGTTTCATTTAGTTGTCTATGCATTAAAATTCAACATTTCATATGTTGATTACGACAGATAACTCGATATCATTTCAAATTTATTTATATGAGGCAATATACATAAAAAAAGAGAAAATTAAATGTACTACACGAAATAGAAAATATACGAGAACTGCGTCATAAATTGGAATCATGTATATATCGTATATATGTATTTTCTCACAGCTCTTATACTTTATTATAAACATTTTAGCTTTTTTACAAAAAAAAATACTACAAATTAAATAAAATATTCCCCCAGCGTTATGAAATGCCCCCAAGAACATAGTAAAGTATATAATAGCAACAGGCTATGACTGTTGCACTCTCCTTTTTCCTTCGAGTCCTGCCAAGATAAATGCCAACCGGCATCTCACTACACTCACTTATCTTCCTTCTTTCCGTATGTCATCACAACACCGGTAATCAAGGCAACAACTGTAAAACCTTGCGCCGCAATACGGGCTCTCATCATCATTTGGGACATTCTGCGATTGCCAGTACGGAAATTATACAGACCATAACCCAAGGCACAAGCTGTGGCAATACATCCTATAATAGAGAATGGATGACGTTATGCTATTTTGTTCGTGTTTGCAATTATTTTCTTATATAAGTAAAAATGCATGTCAGACCTACCAATTGGTACCAAGGGATTTTCCTTAATTTTACGCATCATCTTTTCTTTGGTTGTCTCTGGAAACACCGGTCCAGATTCAATGCGCATTTGTATCCAGTCCAATTCTTCATCGGGAAGTTGTACCTTTTGCGGGGTTTGTGAACTCATTTTGTCTGTTTTTGTCAATGTTTTGGTTTCTTTCCTGGTGAAATAAATGAAATCAAGTGTTGGTCAACGTTAAAAAACACTGGTGTTGGTCAGCTGTTTTGGTAGACCGAGTTTGGAGCCAATGCATGAAATATGACGCCGTTTATTTATAACATTTGCTGCCGTAGGTGTGTTTTAGTGAACAATTGGTCTGTTCCCGTACTGCAAGAATCTACTAATTTTTACTACGATAACGAATTTTCCTTTATGATATCGAAGAAAATAGTTAAATCTAGTAGATTCTTGCAGTACGGGAACAGACCAAATGTCGTTTTTTATAACGCATTTGTGATGTGGATTTACGAAATCCTGAAAATAAATTAAATTTATATTTTTTTTTATTTCACCAAACACGTATTTCTGGGTTTCTCTTAAACGAATCATCTAAAAGAGACAAAATCATTTCAGTCGCTCAGCGCACAAATGAAAAATAGAGAAAGGTGATGATATATGGTGTTTTTAAAATTGCTTTAATAATTCGAATTAAACTATATAATGAAAAATGCATAATGCCGCCAATCTTTATTATTCAGAACAGATGTTATAAGTATAAAAGTTATGACTATACCAAGAACTTTGATAAATTTAATATTTTCCAAAAAGTGTAGTTAATCTATATGCGCCGAGCGACTAATTTAAAGAAAACAGTTGCAACATGTCGTAATTTATGTCACAAAAACAGAATTGTATTGTTGTATTTATTTTTAGTTATTCTGACATTAAAGCCACAACATAGATGTATATTTGTCCTTTGTTGACAAAATATGCCTTACCTTGTATATGTACCGAACATGACACAATGAATAGGTAGGCCATCTAGAGCAGCTGATGTCTTGATTAACTGCCGAAGTGCGTAATTTCTACTTGAATTCGATATGCAATGTTGCCAACCATATGAAATATTATATGGAAAAATTTGACAGATCGTCGAGACAAAAACAAATATTTTTGTTTTGATACATCACCTTATTATTGCATCATAGTACCGAGCATGGCACAATGAATAATGTTACGTTATTGGATTTTACTAAATCCCGTGTAGACGTTGTTTTATTTCCCGATACAATTCGTACCAAATAAAACGCGGGTTCTTTCAGATTACGATTATTACAATGACTTTATTCACACAACTTTACTTTACACGACGGTTTCAATTCGCGATCTGATTCACAACTGACTCACTGCCTTTCCATTCCCTCTATTTATATGAGCCCTGCCTGTCGCTACAGAAGTTTCTAGACGATCTGGTAACACCTAGATCACGAACAATCTACCAATGCAACAAACACATTGAGTAACAATAACAACAACAAACTTACTGAGTGAACAATAACAACAACAAACTTGAGTAAACAAACTTACAATAACAACAACACATATACAGGCGAGGGAATAACAAAGAAAGAGGAATAACAACAACACATATACAGGCGAGGGAATAACAAAGAAAGAGGAATGACGTTTAACAAGAATTGTACGACAATAACAAAATAGAAAATGAAAGAGGAAATGGAAGGATGTAGAAAAATCTATACAGTGGTTGTTGTTGTGAAGTTATTCAAATAAACTGCGTAGTAGAAATTTACGTTACAATCCAAATTCTTAAATTAACGGAATTCATCTAAATTAACTTAAATCTAAAGTTATATTCGTAACATTGCCCCCCGCTTAATCCTGTTCGTCCCGAATAGGCACAGTTCCCGTTCCGTAGGGGATCAGCCGCTCCAAATGTACAACTTTCATCTTCGACCTGGGACTGTCGCTCCTCTGGATGCGATAAACGACGTCATTTATTTTCGTGACAATCTTGTAGGGTCCTTCCCAGTGCGTTTGCAATTTGGGGCATAGTCCTTTCTTTCGTTGTGGGTTGAACAATAGTACCAGTTGCCCTTCTTGAAACCCATCGGTATTTGCCGCTCGATCGTACCTTGCCTTCATGCGGTTGCTAACCATTTTTATTCGATGTCGGACTGCATCGTGGACTTTACTAAAAGAGTTTTGGCTGTCTTCATCTTGGTTCACATCGTCGTTTGGGGTAGCACCGAATATCAAATCGCCAGGTAGCTTTAATTCATTTCCGAACAGAACTTTGGCTGGGGTCCGGGATGTGGAATCATGAATGGCCGATCTATAAGCCAATAAAAACTTTGGAATATGCTCATCCCAGTCTCGTTGGCCACTGTCCACCACTTTCCGTAGATGTTCTTCAAGGGTGCGATTGAATCTTTCCACCATGCCATCTGAGTGTGGATGTAGGGGCGTCGTTCTGGTTTTCTTAATTCCGTAGGAGTCACACATTTCCTTGAAGATCGCTGATTCAAAATTCCTACCTTGATCGGAATGAACCTCAGATGGAACACCATAGCGACAAATCCAATTTTTGCTGAACACATCCACAATTGTCCTGGCTTCTTGATTTGGGATAGCATAAACCTCCGGCCATTTACTGAAGTAATCCATGACCACTAAGACATACCGGTTCCCAGAGTCGCTTGTGGGGAACGGTCCAGCTACATCCATTGCGATTCTTTCAAAAGGGGCTCCTGAATTATACTGCTGCATGTAGCCTCGACTCTTCCGTGTTGGACCTTTAGCTTTTATGCACCTTTCACAATTGGCGATCCAGTCGGCAATGGATTTTTGACAGCCGACCCAGTAAAATCTCTGCTTTACCTTTTCAGCGGTCTTTGCTATGCCAAGATGTCCTCCACTTGGCCCATCATGAAACTCCGACAAGACATCTCTTATTTTAGAATCTGGGACGACGATCAAGTTCCGGTGGGATTTACCGTCCTCACTTTCCCATTTGCGGTATAAGCAACCATCTATTATAAGTAGACTGTCCCACTGGGCCCAATAAGATTTTAAAAGAAGGCTTTCGGAGGTAATTTCTTTGCGACTAGGTCGCTTGCCCGTTTCTATGGCCGAAATTATTTTGCCCAGAATGGGATCTCTTCGTTGTTCCGTCGACCAATCTTCTCCCGACTCAAACTGCAATCGTCGGACATCCACGATATTCTCTTTGCACTCAGCCTTTGAGCAGTGGCTGTATTCTACCTTGCATGGCCGACGAGACAGGGCATCAGCATTACCGTGTTTTCCGCCTTCTCTGTGCTCGATTCTGTTTAACGGTGACTCATTGGTGGACTGTTGAGCCATTCTTCTACCATCTTTCGTTAGAGGTGGTGACGATGACCTGGATCGTTTGCGCTTAGCTCTGCATTCGCGCGCAATATGACCTGCTTTATCGCAGTTGTAGCATCTAACCCTGGGCGTAGTCATCCCTACTAACTTTGTTTCTTCTATTACCCGCCTCATGGCGTCCTTGATCAAGTTAACGAGAGATTTGTGTTCGCAACATTCGGTCTCCAGTTGGCGAATCTTGTGGGTCTGGGGCTTAACAATTATTCTTGCCATCTCTTGGGCAAGGGCAAACGACACAGTTTCGGCAAACGACGCTTTTGGTGACGCATATGTTGCACATTTAATCTCAGGGTCACGTATGCCATTCACAAAGGTTTCGATTTTCATACGGTCCAGCAATGGGTGATTCTCTCCTGGATACGCCATTAGCACCAAACGTTCCACCTCAGCTGCAAAGTCTTGTAACGTCTCGTTCGCTCTCTGTACTTTTCCCCTTAGTTCCATAAGGTAGATGTTTTGTTTATGTTCGCCACCGTACTTACGTTCCAGTGCAGCAATAACATCTTCATAGTTGCTTCTAGAAGCGACAGGAATACTCTGTATAACATCAGCAGCACTGCCCTTCAATGCCAGAAGTAGTGCAACCGCTTTGTCGCTGTCGTTCCACGAATTTCTAGAAGCCACTGTCTCGAACTGTAACTTGAAAACATTGAATGACGTAGAGCCGTCGAATACAGGAGGTTTGATTTTTAGTGTGTTATCAGGAACTCGCACCGGACCACCCTTAATTTCCAGTTCTGATATTTTCTTCTCCAGATTCGTAACCCTGTGGTCGTGGACCAGAAATTTCTCATCCACAGACAGAATCTTCTCGTCAACCGACTGCACTTTCTTATCCAACTCTTTTATTTGGACCTCCACGGTTTCCACTCTCCTTCCAATAACTTCTGTAATGTTCTCGAGTTTATCCATCATTCTTCTCGAATTTTCCTCGCTCCTTCTGTAATTTTCCTCAAACATTTTAGCCAGCATTTCTCTTAAATCGTCACCCCTGGCAGAAACTGACGAGGCTTCCCCACCGTTGGATTCGCTAATTTCCGATAAATCCACTTCATCCTTACTGTCAAACTCATATGTATCGATGTTCATACCACGGCGCCCGAACTCATCCAACAGACGTTTTTGTAGCTCAGCCTTGTTGCCAGTAGAGGACAATTCCAATTTATTGAGCTCCTTCTTCAAGTCTTCCACTCGTAGATCCTTGAACTTCATCGTAGTATTATCGTAATCCCACTTCTGACACCAATTGTTACGTTATTGGATTTTACTAAATCCCGTGTAGACGTTGTTTTATTTCCCGATACAATTCGTACCAAATAAAACGCGGGTTCTTTCAGATTACGATTATTACAATGACTTTATTCACACAACTTTACTTTGCACTTTACTTTACACGACGGTTTCAATTCGCGATCTGATTCACAACTGACTCACTGCCTTTCCATTCCCTCTATTTATATGAGCCCTGCCTGTCGCTACAGAAGTTTCTAGACGATCTGGTAACACCTAGATCACGAACAATCTACCAATGCAACAAACACATTGAGTAACAATAACAACAACAAACTTACTGAGTGAACAATAACAACAACAAACTTGAGTAAACAAACTTACAATAACAACAACACATATACAGGCGAGGGAATAACAAAGAAAGAGGAATAACAACAACACATATACAGGCGAGGGAATAACAAAGAAAGAGGAATGACGTTTAACAAGAATTGTACGACAATAACAAAATAGAAAATGAAAGAGGAAATG